AACCGCCCCCCCCACCACCACCACCACCAACCCCCGAACCCCGCGCCAAAAGCACCCCGGGCGGAGGGAGGTAGCTGATAGTTTTCTCCAAGAAACAGAAAGGCCCCCATCCGTGGTGGCGGCGGCTCACAGTTTGCAAGACAAGCCTCAGCCTCCTCCTCCTCCTCCTCCAGTCCTGGCTTGCAGAGAACTGGCGGCGGCGGCGCTGGGCTCCTCCGGTCGGTCCTCCTCGCTTCTGTGCTGCAGACACACACACACACACACACACACACACACACACACACGCACGCAGGCACACCTCCCCCTCCTCTCCGCCACACGCGTGTGTTTATGTGTATGTCGGGCTGTTGCCACTTTGCAAACACATCACACAACCGTCCCCCCCTCCCACCACCACCAAGCAGAGCCCTGATTGCAGCAAAATGCATCCCAACGACCCTGGTCCAAAAACACCCCATAATACACATTTTCTTCTTTTTTCTGTCCAGTCCCCCATAAAAGCCAATATTTCTATGGAGACGACGCTGCTGCGTGCCTGCAGCAGCCTTCCTTCCCCGTGAGAAGCCGTTCATACATGTCCACACACACACACACACACACACACACACACCTAAGGAATGGAGCGACAGATGGGGACACACTCCTGTCCCCGTTCTCCTCCCCAATCCAGGGAAGGCAAGAAAGAAAAATGCCCAGTGAAAGGACGCCGGCCGAGATGTCCGCAGCAGAGAGGCTGCCCACACCAGCACCAGCACCAGCACCAGCACCAGCACCAGCACCAGCACCAGCACCTTCCCGTGGCAGGAGAAGAGACGCCAGTTGAAATGTCACGGTGCCCATCTCGGCACCCAGAGAGAGACATCTTAGAACGGCACCTACCTGGGGCTCGGGGGGCTGCCTTGGCTGGTGAGGGTTCTCCTGGCACATCCAGATTTTCCCAGGGAGCAAGGCGGCCTCGGGTTCAGGAGGCGGTGGGCAGCCAGGGCAGCCGCTCCATGGGCTCATCCAAAGGAACGCGAGGCCCAGGAGGAGACTCAGTGGCTGGGCTGGTCCATCCTCCTCCTCCTCCTCCGTGGCCAGGGAGAAGAGAGCATCCTCCAAGTCCAGGCAGCAGGCAGGCGGGCGGGCGGGCGCTGAATCCAGGCTCTGTGCCGAGAGCCAGAGGTGGGCCAGAGAGGAGCGGCTCCGGGAGAGAAAGAGAGACTGAGCCGAGAGGTCCCGCTGTCTGCAGCCCTCTCCTGCAGCCATTGGACCAGGCTGAATGAAATTTACAAACGCCCCAGCCAATGGAGGCGCGCAGTTGCCTCCATCACTAGAGAGAGACACAGCCACCCGGCGGCGGCTACAACCTCACTCCAAGCGCAGCTTAATCCCAGTGCAAACCAGCTGTGACAGAGAGAGCCCCAAGGCCGGCCCCGGGGGTGGCAGACAGGTGGGCACAGAGCAGGGACACACACACAGCAAGCCACCCAGCAAAAGCGTCCAGCCAGCCAGCCAGGGGGTGCTTAACCACTGAGCCACATGGTCAGCCCCCTTTAAAAAAAAAAAAATCTATTCATCCACTTATTTATTTATTTATTTTAATTTTTGAGACAGGGTCTCAACTAAGTGGCAAAGGGTCTTTCTCGCTCAAGTGCGGAGGCTGGCCTCCAACTGGAGATCCTCCTGCCTCAGCCTCCCAAGAAGACAGGCGAGTCACCCCGCTGTCTGGTCTGGCTCGCTCCCGACTTTGAAACATGGCCTAGTTTCACTTTCAAGGTCGGAAGAGTTCTTATGAATTTCAAGTCGGGTCACGGGAAATTGAGGATCAATGGGCACGCCGTGTGAAGTGGGTTTGGAAGCTGTTGAAGCACACAGTTATCCGATTTGGGGGCTAATGAACGCAGGTGCTTCAGCTGGATGGCTGGATTGTCCAAGTTGCCGATGACCTTCGAGGGGCACTTAAATGATTTCCAGCTCCCTTCCTTCCTGCATCTGCAAATGATGAAGGGGAGGGGGGGTTGACATGCATCACGCAGCCAGGTGCTGATAATTAGCAGAGTGCATCCTTCACAGGATGTGGCAAGTCTTAATAAAGGTCACGTTTTCTTAATTTTTTTTTTTTTGACACTGCAGTCATTCATTTATAGAAGGGAAATAGACAATTGCCTCTTCCCAGGTGCCTCTGCTGAGAACAGGGAAGTGAAGCATCCAATCTGCAAAAATGAGTTGATATAATGGTACCATGTGGGGTGGGGGTGGGGTGGGGGGTTCCCTGCAAATTCTTGCAAGAGGGACTCCTGGGTCGCAGGGCCCACCCTATTGTCAGGTTCGTGTCCAGGGCTCTGTCCTTGCTGGGTCTGCCTCCTTGGAAAGCTGGTCACCTTCTGTGGATCTGAGGGGAGAGACCTAGACAGAGATCCCATGCAGATCCCTGTGGTTGGGACCTGAAATGTCCCCAGGAGGCCCCTATGTTCACGGGTTGGTTTCCACCTCGGAGCTCTTTGAAGGTGGGACCTAGTGGGAGGGGCTTAGGCCTTTAGGGGTGTGGCCTTGGAGAGGTCTGTAGGATCCTCTTTTTCTCTGCTGCTTCCTGGCCACAGGGGAGGTCACCCACTGTGGTCAGCAGCCCTGGTGGTTGTGCCCCACCACACACTTCCGGCCGCCACCATGAGCTCCTTCCCCACAGCCTCAAAAGCAAGGGGGGCCAAGGGACTGAGACCTCAGCCATTGTGATTCTCGGTCAACCTTTCTTGTTTATCAGCTGATGGTCTCGGGTAACTCATTACAGTGTCGGAAAGCTGGCTCATACAATATAAAAACCCCCATTCACCAAAAACAAGGATATAAATGTAGATATCCATCCAATAATGGAAAAAAAACAAATAATGCACATAAATATTTATAAATATATGCCTGAATATGTACATCTAGTGCATATTGCTTTTCTAATATGAGATATTTAAAGTCATCTCTCTTCTAATAGATAGTCAAGATACACTGACGTGGTAATGTTACGTTAATAAATCAATTCATCATGAACGTATTATTAGGTAAGAAGTGCGGCTTTCCCTGCAAAGCCATGACATCCAGAGATAACCAATACAGACCCACAGATGTAGACACTGATGTCTAAATCCTACCATTGAGCAGCATAACCTTAACTCAAGCAGGACCATTTATATATAATAGGCAAGAAAGTCACTGACTTTGCAAGAACGTATTAACTCACTGGCTGACTTAGAAATTCCTTCAGTGCTTTGTAAACTCTTGCACGGTCTTGAGAAGTGAAAATATATCTGTGACCTAACCTTTTTTTTTTTTTAATCCCCAATTGTTTTTGCATTCTGGCACCAAGGATTGCATCCAGGGGTGTTGGACCACTGTGCCACACGCCCGGGAGCCCCTTTTTTATTTTTTTATTTCATTTTTATTTTATTTTTTTATTTTGCTAAGTTGCGAAGGCTGGCCTCCAACTTGGGATCCTCCTGCCTCAGCCTCCTGAGTTGCTGGATATTTTTTTCAGCTTTGGACCTGAATGGAACCCAGGACTCCAGAGCTGACGGATAGAGGATAATTATGCTTAGAAGGAAAGGGCCGGTAGATAGACATTGTTCACCCCAAGATCCAGACGGGTGTTTGGAAACCGGGGGAGTCGAGCCTGGGAGAAGGGAGGAGCATTTACAGAGGTGGGATTATGTGCAGTACTGGAGGCTTGCGGGAGAAGTGGAGTCTTTCCACTTAGCCCCTGAGGAGCTAATAGCATGTTTTATGTAGGTGGGAAAAGGAGGAAAAAAATGAGATTTATATTTTAGGACGTTTGCTTTGGTGGTGAGATGGAGAGCCAGGTGGAGGGGGGGGAATGAGAGCAGAGAAAATGAATATTCCCGAGACATTGGAAGGGTGGATGCCCTGGAGCAATGAATTCCTGATAGGGAGAGAGAGAGAGAGAGAGAGAGAGA